TTGGTGTTGTTTTTTTCGCATGTTGTGGTTTTTGGGTAGATTTTTGGGCTCGGCATGCATCTTCCGCAATGTGTCTCTCTGCGTGTAACCTCTCGCATCATGGACCTCAGGTTGACCATCACTTGGTGTGTTTGTTTCAGGACCCTTTTGCGCCTGCCAACAGCCATTCACCAGCACTGCTCCATTTTTTCTGCTTCAGAGTTGCTCGTCGTCGCCTTCAGTTGGATTCGATCCTGCTCACCTTGTGCCTCCAGAGTGATTTCACCCAGTATGCGGTCACTTAAACCGCTCGGCTATTTAAGTTATTGATGATAAAAGTTATTTTTATTCTCATATTGTATTAATATTGAATTTTAATAAAGAATAATGTATCATACCATCTCTCTTATTCATCATCTGCCTCTACCCCTCTCTTTCCCCAGTTCTTCCACTACCTTCTCTTACAGTCAAGTGCGGAACTTGAGTTTTTTGTTTTTCAGAAATATTCTAAGTGTCAAGGTCGAAATGCGCCACCTGAATTTAATATTTTGAACTAATATTTGATAATTATGAAAAACTGTACAATCGATTTTTCAAGCAACTTCGGGATTTGAACCGAGAAACGTTGAGCAACTGTAGCGGTAACTTAACGATCTCGGCTAATTAGTTATATAGAACTGTTTTCTATTTGTAAAATATAAAGTCTTATTTCTGAAATGAAAGATATAAGTTTCCAAAAAATGTGGTATTCCAAATGTGCGAATGGCCGTGGTTGTTAAGTTACGGTTTAGGCCAGAATAACAATTCGAGGTTCGCCAGTTCAAACCCCATTTATCTGAAAAAAAATTTGGAACCAATAATTTTTCTAACTGTGTGAATGAATAAGACATGTAGATAAATAATTAAATTTATTGAGTGTCAGTATTACAAAAATCGACATAATATATATGTGCATATATATAAATATAAATGTGTATATATATATATATATATATATATATATATATATATATATATATATATATTATATATATATATATATATATAAAGATAAGAAATAGTAGAAGGAGGATAATTTTTAATAAATTCATATTTACGCCTGAATAGCAGTAAACCAAACCTACTTTGGTGTAATTTAAAATTTTACAACTTTTACTATTTTTCCCATACAAAACCGGTTTTTCAGGGGCAGCCAAAATTGGCCAAAATCGTGACTTTCAAATGCAATTTTAAGGCCCTTAATGAATGAAATTGATAATTTTAATGAATGTATTGGTAGACAAAAGTACAATCTTTATACCAAACCAACAAAAATACAAATTCATCATCGTCTTCATAGTTAAAATCAGCTTCAAAGTTGGCAATTTTTCAAACTTCAAGTTGGTAGTGAGGGTAGAAGGATTATTTTTTCCAAAAACTAATTTCATATTCGGAATCAGCGACTCGAAAACTATCAGAATCGGCCAAAAGATTTGAAAAATCGCGAAAAAAAATGTTCATTTCATTAGTAAAATTTTGATTTTGCGAACAAAGATTTCGATTTTTCGCAAAGGTATGTAGATTTCTCAAAAAATAGATTACATTTTCGAATTCAGCGATTCAAAATCTATCAAAAACAATCAAAACATTTTGAAAATCGCGAAAAAATGTTCATTTTATTAGTAAAATTTCGAGGTTGAACCCAAAGATTTAAATATTCTGCTCATGTATCGAAGTTTATCTAAAAAAGCGAAAGCATTTTCATAATCAGCGCCCCAAAATCTATCGAAACCAGTCGAAACATTTAAAAAATGGTGAAAAAAACTCAATTTTTTGAAAAAAAAAATCGATGTTGCAACCCAAGACTTCGATTTTACGCAGAGGTATGTACATTTATTTAAAAACTGAGCATTTTCGAAATCAGCGTCCCAAAATTTATTAAAAGCAGTGAAAACATTTTAAAAATCGCGAAAAAAACTCGCTATTTGATAAAAAACACTCAATGTTGCAACCAAAGTTTATCGGAGTTTATCCAAAAACGGATAGAATTTTCGAAATCAGCGCCCTAAAATCTATCGAAACCAGTCAAAACGTTCTAAAATTTGCGAAACAAACTCGAAAGTCTAACATTTTGGAAAATGCAATAAAACATTTTTTTATGAAATTTAAATGTTGCAACTAAAGATTTCGTTATTTTGCCCTGAAAGCTCACCAAAAAAACATTGTCTAATGAGTTCTTGATTATATTTTTTCTCCGCTATTAGGGAGAGCCAGGTTTTAAGGTTCCTTGTAAGACTTTCTTATAAGTTATAAGCACCTGCAATAAGAATAAAAATTTATTCTGAGGATATACATTTTAAATAAAATTATAGTTATTTACTAATAAAAGTTTTAATATTATTCAAAATCAGAAACGTATGTTTATATAAGAAAATAAGTTTTTGGGTTGTTCCGTTGTAATTTTCGCGAAAAGAATAGTTAATATAACCGTTGTTATTGTAATGAATTATTAATAAATATTGGTATTACTAATTGTAGTTATAAATATATATGCGCTATGTAATAATGTTCAGTAAAAAGTGCTATTTCAACGAAAATTAATGTTAATCGCATTCCATATAGAATTTACTTTAATATGATGAGTTTGATGTAAGCTGTCTGTACGTCTGCTTTAGGACACATATTTTTCAAAAACAAAATCGCAATTTTAAGGAAAATGGATATTTTCGAAATTTTACAAAACCATATGGTTTTTGCAATATCTCAAAAATTACGAAAGTATGTAAAAAATTATAATGATGAAATAAAATAATTATCATAATTATTATGAAATAAATCATATTAGCAAATTTAATCATACAGCTTTATGTTTTTTTTAACATTCGAATGTTAAAAAAAACATAAAGCCATTTGATCATTTGATCAAATGGTTTGAAGGCCCATATGTTAAAGGATAGTGAAACATTTAAACCGAGCTAAAAAAAATTAAATTATCTATTATATTTACTTGCAGAAATCCTCAAGCAACTCGGCATACTTTAAATGTTGAGTGTACATTTTTGCAATTTTAGAGTAGAACCAGTTGCTTTAGAAAGAACTCAAAGGTTAAAATAGTCTATAGATAATTTAATTGCATTCAAATTTCCTAAATTAATGTACATTAGGCCAATTTATGTAATTTTTAAATAGTAAATTTAAATTTTATATAATTTTTAAACCACTTTCGTTTAATATTAAGAAAGTTATGATATATAGACGTATAAAATAGCGTTCGATTTCAATAATTCAAAAAACATTTCACTTGTATTGACAAGATGAAGAACTGATTAAATTTTTGAGAAGGCAGGTCTAGCGGTTTCGGAGATCTAGTAAAAAACTTTCAAAAATATAATTTTTTCAAAGTTTAAAACATATTAACCTTTTTTTTAATTATTTAATTTTTGGTACGGGAATTTCCAGCAATTTGCCTGGCACAATGCCATACGCCACTAGTTAATTAATTTAATTTGAAATGTCACTTATTATGATTTAAAAAAAAAAAAAACATTTCTTACAAAGAGCATATATATTTTTTGACTTATTTATGATGTAAATAATTATTAATAATAACGGTGCTTATAAAAACTCTTCTCAACACGAAATTGTATACACAAATAATTTATTTCAATCAAAACCGCTCGTAAACTTATTTCCCTGTATAAACAACACACATTTTTTTTAGACAATAAAAAAATATTTCTTTCTGATTTTCATTATCAAAAAACAAAAAAGATCGGAGCTGTTTCAATTAATTATTGGACATTTATTCAATGAATTTAAAAACACATTTGAAAATAAACTTATTCAGTACTGAGGTTCATAAGATGGAAATAACTGTGAACAAGTTTGACATATAAAATGTCTAACCTTTTAAAATTTAATTATAATGATTAAAGTGACAAATTAACGTACAAAAAATTGTTTTGGATTTCATAAATATTGCAATGCGCGCATAAAATAAATTATATTGTTGAAAATATATTTATTTAGAATGTCCAAAATGTTTATGAATACATAGACATAAACCACTTGGCCTAGAATTTAAAATATAAAACATTATTTGGTACTTACTTAATCACATCTTCATGGAAAAAAACACTCAAGCTTAAGTCTATCACTTATGATTTGAAAATTAGTTAAATTTTGGTAAAGATACTTGTCCAACCAAGGCTCAGCACAGACTGTTCATTTATTTTAATAATCTTTACAACAAAACTTAAACATCAAGTAAAACCTAAATATTTACAGGGTGGTAACATTGTTTTTAGTTTTAACGAAATCTTTTTCTAGGGAAACGTACAGTTACAAGAGCCAAAAAGCAAAAAAGAACCATCTACTACATAAAAATACATATATGTAGAAACTATAGTTTCAAATTGATATTTTCAAATCAAACAAAAATTGAAATATCTGAAAACTCCTACATCTATTTTAGCAAAATTGACATACACTTTTAATTTAACGTGTTATTAATATCATAATATAGAATCTTAGAAATTATTTGGGCACTCCTTAATCACATCACAAGAAAATCATATAAATGATCTTCATATTTAATAAATTAATTAATTAGATTAATTAATCATGAATAATCATTAATATTTAAATCACATCACAATAAATAAATCACAATTTGTTTAATGTAAATGAATGATCATTATGTTCTTTGATTTAAATTTCACTGTAGATATAAATGATCGATCTTATAGAATTTTTATCACCTATCCTATGAATAGCATATTTTTGTGTATCCTAAAAAATATAGACATGTAGTTTGTTATGAAAATTTGGGTATATTAAATTATTAATGTTGTTGGATTGATTTTAATATCAGTTCATAAATAAAGTTCACAATTGAATATTTGATATAAATAAATATATTTTTTTTTATGCAGTAATAATTTAAAGAACAACTAAAAACGATGCAAATGTTGATAATTCTAAATAAGATTAATTAAACATAATTTAATTTAGATAATTCAATCAATTTTAATATTTGCGTTTCTTGACAATGTATTGTATTTGATTTATTGTATTATTGAATTGATCTCACTTGTGCTTCAACATTTTACATCAGAATTCAACTCTATATAACCTTTCTGGAAAACAGTATAATCATCGGCAACATTCATACTCCAGGCAATAAATTTTTCAGCAGCAAGAGGATGCCAGGATCCAAATGTACATGCTGGATTTGTTCGTTCATCAAAATAATGACAACGTGCAGACAATCTAGTTGATGGTATGTACTCAAATACATGTAATAGATGACACCTTTGAATAAGCAATGCAATTCCTAAAGAATTCATACCATTATTTTTTTTAAATTCTACTAGTTTTTTGTAGATACTTGTTTTATATAACTATATTTAAAGCATTATATATGACAAGATAGAAAATAAACCTCAAAAACTATGTTAATAAATATGATCAAATTACTTACCAAGAAATCCTGACGTTGGTGGATGTTTAGGCAATGGTTTTTGTACTCGTCTTTGTAAAAACTTCCACAAATTCCATAAAGAAGATGGATTCAGCAAAAAAAAGTTATAGTAGCTAGTTGGGTGTTCATTTGCCCTTTCATTATCGCTGTACCTCATGTAATTTTCATATGCTGAAAACAGGTCATGCTCCGGTTTGGCAAACCAATGTGCAAGAGTTGATCCCATGGGAGATGGGTCCCATCCCAATAAAACCATTTGCCCTCGATATAGAGAGGAATTAACAAATGAATAGCGCTCCTGAGTCATCACCTTGGAATAAAAATGCCTTCAGACCAAATAATATTGCAACTGTCCACCTAGCTATCTATAATAAGTTTACATTCTTAAATAAAACTAGCTGTAAGTGGAATTCTGTCTTAAGGCAATTAAGGCATCGTGCCTTAAGGCAAATTGCTGGAACTTCCCGTACCAAAATTTTTTTTTTAAAAACGATTAAGATTTTTGAAAAAAATTTACTTTGAAAAAATAAGATTTTTGAGAAACTATATATTGGACAAAAAAATTACTTTTTTTGAAAAAAAAAATTTTTTTAATTTTTTTTTTTAAAAAAAAAATGTTTTATTTTATTTTGACATATTTTGGAAGATCTAAACTTTTTTTCAGAGCAATCGTACTGCTTTAACTGCATAAAGACGAAATATCAAAGCCCGTAAGCGCCGCGTCGCCGTCTAACGCGTAAACATTGGTACGGAACCCATAGAAATGTAAAAAAAATTTATACTTATTGTTAAAATCTCTATAAAATATTTGATAATTTGATGTGCATATGTCTAATGATCATTTTTGACCGCCAAATGGCATTTTTTTTTACTTTTTTCATCAGATCTCCGAAACCGTTAGACCTGCCTTCATGAAAATTTGATCAATTCTTTATCTTGTCAATACAAGTAAAATGTTTTTTAAAATATTCAAATCGGACGCTCCGTTCTCTTAAAAACTGAGTTACCGTTTCGGCACTTTTTGCCCGTATCTTTGGAACGGCTAGACCTGCTTTCGCCAAAAACTAATCAGCACGTCTCCTTATTAATACGAATCGAATGTTTTTTGAATTATTCAAATCGGTTGATCCGTGTTCCCGAAATCGTCGACGAAAATTTGTATCCGCACATACATACACACACGCACATACATACATACATACATACATACATACATACATACATACATACATACACACACACACACACACACACACACATACATCCATTTTTTCTAAGGTATGCCAAAATGTTCAGAAACCTCTGAAACGTAAAGATATATAAACATTTTCATTTTCGATTTTTTTGCGATTACTATAACTTGCCCTACGGGAAGTTAATTATCAAAATACCCAAAGAGAAGCTATTTTTTTCATTTTATTTAAAATTGCAGTATTTTAGAATAATGTAATAACATTTCATTATGTATTTTATAAACATATTATTTATTAAACACAATACTACTATATCAAGAAATATTAATTTAGAAAATGATTTAATTCTTAATGTATATATATATATATATATATATATATATATATATATATATATTAGGGTGGTCCTTAAAATGGTCATTTTCGAATTTCCTTGCTCCCAGGGGCTCAAATGGTTCGAAATTGATAAAAAACAATTCTCTGAAAGTTTTAGCTCTTAATATTAACGTTTAGATAGAGCGCAATTCAATCAAAGTTTGTATGGAAAGAGCATGGAAAAAATTTTGAAAATTAAAAAAAAATGTTTTAGGTATAACTTAACGACAAATGAATGAGCTTTATTCATTCATTTGTTCGCTAAGTTACATCTAAAAAACATTTTTAAAATTTTTGAAAATTTTGCCATCCTATTTCCATACAAAACTTTGATTTAATTGCGCTCTATCTAAACGTTAATATTAAGAGCTAAAACTTTCAGAGAATTGTTTTTTATCTATTTGGAACCATTTGAGCCCCTGGGAGCAAGGAAATTCGAAAATGACCATTTTAAGGACCACCCTAATATATATATATATATATAATATATAAATACACAATAAACATAACTTTAACAATATTTAAGAGAACTAGTATGTACGCACATAATATACTATAATATTATATAGTACTTATATATGTACATAAACACTACTACAAGTTAAGCATTGGTTTCATTAATATTATATAAAATTTCAATATTAAAATACTTTGAATATTATGAATATAAAAATACCTGTGAATTTAAAATTCTGAATGTGGTCTTTCTTCCCACATCTCTCTCATAACCGGTAACTGGTGCATGATTGAATCGCAAAACTACTTCATGGTCATCTAAAAGAAATAAATTACATGTGATTTCAATGTTTCCCTGCTTTAAAGACAAATGAACTGCACTTTAAAGACACTAAATTCCAGAATCTAAGTAATGTGAATCTATTTGTAATATTACTAATGTTATATAAAGTATTCAACTGATTAAACTAAAAATTTACATCTATGTTTAAATAGTTTAAATACAAACAATTTAATATGAAAATTTATAATAAAATGGATAACTATACCTATGAAATTGCCTAAGCCTGATCCAATTAATGATCCTGCACTTGCAACTATGGCGCAAGTATTAAAAGTTTTTGTCTCAAATATATTGTTTTTGGGCACCCATTTATGTATATTCAATTTGTCTGAAGGAATATCTTTTGGAATAATGGTATCAATTGCAACCTCTTTTAAAGCACAGATCAACTGACTTTTTGTCTGATTTAAATAATTTTTTAAATCTATTTCATGATTGACATTATAAGGATTAGCTGAAAAATCATCCGATTGAACGGAAGATGATAACAAATTTTGATTCAATATTCTACGAAATTCATTCAGAATTTTGGTCTTATGACTTGCTGTTTTATGAGAACAACTGTGAGATGTATTAGAAGAACATTGGTAATCACTTGCATCAAAATTCAAGTTTGTGTTGAGAGTACTTAAAAATCTAGGCTTATTTGAGGGATTTTCAACTTTTGGCCATGATATAGTAGAATTAGTAGATGACTTTGTGATATTTGATTTCAATACAAACACAGATCTTTTATTCCTGGGCATATCAGAACCAGAAAAAACTGATAATTGAACAAGCCAGAATATTATAATACTATGTAAATGCATTCCTCTTTTAGAATTAGTGGATTTGCTTACTATAAATCCTTGTTAATAAAAATTCCAAATCATTATGAATTTAATGCATTCATAACTTTGATAATGCCAGTATTTTTTTTCACAAATGACATCATAAAATTATTCTGAATTTCTATTATCATGAAATCATTTGATGATACATTCATCACTACAATAAATGAATCCAGACAGAGCTTCTGCATTGTGCTAGAAAATAAGATTCCAACTATAATGTATTGAGTTCATATTGTCGAAAAAAAAACTGAAATACTTGCTTGGTAACAATTTTGTAATATGTATGACAACAAAATAAAAAAAACAAACAGATTCACAAACGCAAGCATAAAAGTATCAGTACTTAGCCACTTACTAAGAGTGGCAACTTCTAACTTATATAATAATTATAATAAATTTAAAATGAATAATATCATAAAAAGCAAAAGTTTACAAAATAAATTTTCCACAAATTGCAAGTATGCTTTTCACTTTCTGCAAAACAAATATTTATACAAAAAACTTCACATTGTTTGTAATCATGTAATATGGTTTTAAGCAGTTTTTATGAAATCTTACCCCCAGATTTTTTTTTAGTAATGTAGCTTTGAGGCCTTTTAACAAGATATCTTCCTCTCTCCGAAGAAATCCTGAAGTCAACATTTGAATTAAAACAATTCTTACTTTAAAATTGTCAACATAAAATAATTTTATAAGAATATGTTTATATCAAACATAAAAAATGAACTGTAAGAAAATAAGTAGAATTAGTTGTATAGAATTGAAGATAGACATGATTTATATGTTAGATTACTCTAAAAAAAAATCAAAAAACTATTTATTACCATTTTCACTATTATTGACTAGGATTTTCACACACATGACAGATAGTGACAAAGATGTCCGCCATCATGTCCGAGATAAAACCAAGAGCGCGAATTTCAAAATCAAAACATTATCAATCAATCATATATTTTAAAAAATAAATAAACGGCTATTGATTACATAAGAAAGCTTGGTGTAAATAATTATTAAGACCATATGATACTACAAAAATTTCTTTATCTACAAAATGTGTTATATAATTTTAAAATTTATTCACTAGCTTGATTTAGAAAAAAACACATTGGATAGTGGGCAAACTCTCAAAAGTTTTTTTAATTTCTTTTTAGAAATATATCTTATATAAGAAATTATTTTTTTTGGAGCATATATCCAATACAGAAATTCTATTACTATTTAATACTATTCACATTATTCTATAATAATAATGTGAATTTTTATATTTGAGTACTCTAGATTTAATTTGGTTTAAACGCCTTTACTCGTGCAAAATGAGTACATTGTATTCATATTGCCAAAGATAATATTCCAAAGATAAGATAAAAATTGTATATATTATAAAAATTGTATATATAATATATCTAAATAGCTATTATGTATAGCTTAATCTCGTAAAGCTACTGGTCTTATTATTTACAAAGATTGATTAATACTTTAGTACTGTGATGGTATAATTTTTATTTAATTTGTACTAAATTAACATTCATCATATTGGACCAGCCAATTTATCAATTATTGATGAATTGCAAAATTAAAACTAAAAACAAATTATCATATACAGCAAGATAAAATATAGCATAGTCTTAAGTAGGTATAAATGGCATAATGATGAAGCACAAAAATAATTATAAATATAATTATATAGTAGAAGACGCATTTTTATACAATTCATTCCAAAATTTCATTCGCTCTTTGAATAAACCATCAATGACTTCTAGGCCACCATTTGATATGTGTAAAACATGCTCTTGGTTTTCAGCCCATTCAGGCCATAATTTGGACCATTGCGGTGCTTTACTTTTATTTTGTGCAAATTTTGATAATAAATCTGTTATTAAGTTAATAGTTTTTTGTTCGACAGTTCCTTCTTCGTATCTTTGGCTGGATGAAGAATTAAATATATAAGATACTTCATCAGCGTGGCAAGTTCCTATAAAAGCATAAAAAAGAGCACATTTTTGAAACGATAATTAAAATAGGTTGGTAAATATTAATGTATTTATCATCACCTGTAACTTCTTTGCCACAATATTTAATTCTGTGTAAATTATTTGTGGGTGAATCAACAGCAAATTTATAAACATATTTTGAACCTCTGTGATGATGTATGGATCGTCTGACCCCATGAGCAAAAAATCTATCAGTCATTAACTAAAAGTAAAATATTTATTAATTCAAGAATTTTAAATATGTGTTTTAATTTAATTGTATTTACATTTGTGAAAATCTTCAAATTTTCCTTGGATGGTGTTTTCTTTA